GAGGGAGAGGGGGGAGGGGGGCGGGGGGAGTGTGAAAGGAACTCATGAGTTTCACACCGAACGCGCACGCCCCATCTGCGATAGGTATTAAGTGACATCACTTTGTATTTCTCGGATGTAGTTGCAATGGATGGCGCGAGTCACGTGTGTGACTGTGGGCGGCCTTTCATGTCATTACGGACGATGAACTTACACCGAGCTAGGGCATGTCCATCCGTTGTGGAAGACAGGAGGATGGCACAAGAGATAGTTGGGGGGGGTATCGGTGGACCGTCAAATAGTGCTCCCATTAATCTGGTCAGTAAGGAAAGCGAGGAGGTTGAGCCCCCTCGCGATGTAGAAGCAGACTGCGCATCCGAAGAACAACAACAACAATACACAGAGCCATTCGACGGCTCCCGCAAACTTGCGGCACTGATTTTCTCATGCAGAGGCGGTGTGGGCATGTCCCAAACTGACGTTGAGTGTCTGTTGTCACTCCTCAAGAATCCTAGATTCGACCCAAGAGATATCGCATTTCGTAACAGTCGTGAGTGTCTGACATGGGCAAGCCGCCAGGCTGAGGCTGCAGGGTGGCAAGAGATCAATCTACACGGTGATGATTGGCCTCAAGAAGCGCACACCATTTTGTGGTACCGCGACTGGCGCACAACGTTCGCTGACCTTGTATGTGTTGCACTGCACAACGTTGAAACGGTTTCTTGCCTCGAAATAGAACCTCCCGGGTAGGGGATCAACATATGTGGCTCTCGCACGGGCCAGTTGAGCCACCATGTCCAAACTGTTATCAGAGCGGACAAGGGTGTGGACACGAATAGTAAAACACGTTATGTCATCCCTCTGTCTCTGTATTCACACAAGACACATGTAGACGGTCGTCAAAAGCAGTCAGCGTATCCTCTGATGATGTCAATAGCCGATCGTGCATCGGACGCCACACTCCTTGCATATCTTTCTATTCTTCAACACCGGCCACGTGACAAGGGCTGGGGTCTGCACTCCACCGCGTTTAGAAAACGGAAAGCTGTGATATTGCATAAAGCGTTGGCAACAGTATTGCGGTCCGCAAAGGAGGCATCCCATGACGGCATGATAGTTACAGCGGAGCGGTTCAGCGAGATAACAGTCCACCCTTTCGTCATGAACTATATACAGGACTATCCCGAAAGGTATGCCTTTGCAGCTGTGAAATTCGGTGTTTGTCCAACATGCACAGTGTCGAAAGACGATTTCGATGTCATCGCAGATTTCAACAACTGCAGGAGGTCGCAGACGCTAGAGACGCAACTTGCTGCGAACTGCTTCAACAAAGGGGACAACGATATTCGCCGTGCCGCAGAGGCACGAATGTCAGAATTAAACATGCATAAGCATGTTCAAGAGAACGGCCTTTGGGGATTCTATAGGGGTCCGAATGGTGACGATCGTCAACTAGATTACCATCTCGCTTTGCACCCGGACCGTATGCACAATATTGAACACAACATTTTTTTGCATATGATAGATGCATTCAAGGCAGTAGCTTATAAGAAGTTGCCGGATATCACGCAAACCGAGATATCGCACGAGATGGATGCGAGGTTGCAGAGCATCAGTGAGAAATGTGTGAGGACATACCCGCAACTCGTGTTGCCCATGGCCACAGGTTGTGATTTCTTTTCAAGGAAAGGATGTTTTGAAGCGAAGCAAAATCGGCCTGTTATGACAGTTTGCGTGTTTATTATTTGTGATATCATCCCACGTGCGACAGGCAAATCCATTTGCACTTGTTTCATCAAACTCATGGAAATGTACATACACGTGTTTCGTAAGTCGATCCACACTGCGACTTCTCTCGATGTATGTGACGCATTGATAGGTGATTTCATAACGAGTATAAAAACAAAGATGGGAAAATATCAAACCTCGGATTGAAAAATTCCGAAGTTACACGACCTTACGCATCTGAGAACATGCATAGAGCGATCCGGTGCCCCTGACACTTTCGCGGCTGATGTGTGGGAGCATCATGATCAGAGGTTCTGCAAACAGCCATATCTGGCATCGAACAAGCGCAAGGCCGCTTCCCAGATGGTGAATCATGTCCGACGCTCATTGGCTTTGCAAGATGAGATGGAGATTGTGAGAAAACGAAGAAAGAGGTCGGCAGAAAATTGGTCATTCGTGACAGACTGCATGGGCACTGTAATTAATACCCTCGCTGCGCGCGACACAGCAACTCTACAACTCCGGTGGTTCCAGATGGACGGTGTGCATTTGCTGGAGGTGGAGGGTATAAGCAACACGGCGTTGAGAATACTTAACGAGCTTCCCTGCAGAGAGGATTTTCGAGCTGCGCTCACGACGTTCATGACGGAGAACGCCTATCAACCTCCATCTGATGACCAAGTGATACACACTCGAACACACTTGACTATCACCGCCACACACGACGGGATGCACAGGGGCGCAGGCGTTCAGACGGCAAGAGCTTCACCATAGTTCCACGGGAGAGCCGTGCACAGCGATGTTGCAGTGAGAGGCGGGAATGACAACATATGGTATGCATCGGTAGCCATGTTTTTCGTCATGAACACTTGCACAGTGGGTGTCACGGAGATGCAGAAGTGTTGTTTTGTGCAATCGTACAAAGAGGTGGATAGCGAAAGGGAACACAAAACATGTTGTAAGAAGTTGCAATGGGAGAAGGTAAACGGTCGTCAGCACAGTAGCGTCATAACGATTGACACCATCATCGAGACCGTTCACATTGTTCCTCGTTTTTGTAAACCACAGTGGGGCTCCAAGAAGCATGCAAAAGAGAGGGAGGACAATTTTTGTTGAATAGATATATACTCTAGAAGTGTACATGGAAATAGAAAAAAACAAAAAAAATAAAATTTCATAAGCTGAACGTTTTTCCAAGAATAATCTGTGGTGGGTGCAGTCGCAATTTTATACTACAACAGAGGTCTTTCTTTTGTATTTCTTTTACACAAAGAGAGAGAGAGAGAGAGAGAGAGAGAGAGAGAGAGAGAGAGAGAGAGAGAGAGAGAGAGAGAAAAAAAAAAAAAAAAAGAGAGAGAGAGAGACGTTTGAACGACAATAGTAATTTCGTAATGATGGAGTTCAAATATCGGTAGATTTTTAAAGCAGCGAGACTGTATTTTAGACCGGCACGATCGTGCAAGATGGAACAACACGGTTGTTAGACTGTTTTTTTCGCACGGACAAGGATGTGTTACACCGTTACGTAGCGGTATGTATGACGAAGGTATGACGAAGGTATCTTCAGAGTTGGCTACTGCATATGACTATGTCATCTTACACAGCAATGTAGAGAAAGGTGCATCAAAGCAGTGTGTATGACGAAGGTAACTTCAGAGTTGACTACTGCGTGCACATGTATGGTGAACGTGGACTTAAGAAGTAGCAGGTGGCACGCATTAGCGAACCTATGTCTATACTTACGTTCGACAAAAGGTCTTCACGTCATAGGAAACAGTTATTCTGACTCATTCTCTTTCTCTCTCTCTCTCTCTCTCTCACACACACACACACACACACACACACACACACACACACACACACACACACACACACACACACATATATTGTCGAAATAATAACCAACCTGCTGTGTAATTGACAAGATGTGGTTCATGGCCATGTGACTGCCATGTGGACAGAAAATGTTGAGGTCGAGGTAACGCCGGAACGACACTCTACACTGGAAGAAGTGCCAAGACAGCAAGTGAAAAAAATAAGCGTTTTCAGGAATTGTGGAGAAGTCGATTTAGACGGACACTTCAACCTTAGGCCATCAGTCATGCCATCTGTTGTATGACGGAGAATGAGGGGTGTTCAGATGAGCGAATCTTACAAAATGAACGAGGGGGTAGATGGCAAGGGTTGTATCATGGGCTCAACGAGCCGTTGCTCCCGTTGAGCAGTGAGAGATCAGTGAAGCGATGGAAGAGGATACTGGAGGACCCGTGGTATGCGGAAATGTACCAGATGATGACCACAGATGACGTCCAATATCCTCAGATGGCGCATGAACCTTTGTTCAGTATTGCAGGGGGCAATCGGTCAAGAGGTATGGTTGTAGAGGCTGGAAAGAGGTCCGAGAGGGTGGACGAGGAACACTTGTTCCCGTTCACGTGGACATCAATAAGACACGCCATAGCGATAACGGAACGGGACGTATTGCGATTAGGTGCAAAGCAGTGGCTGAACGACGACATGATTGATATGTACTTACAGTCCGTCTATGAATAACATTTCTCTGCACAGGACAACACGACACTTCATGTTTGCACAACTTTCTGGCATCTCTCAGTCATCGCCAATCATAAGGTTTATGTTTCGAAAGCAGGATGGCAGGAGCGGATAAAAAGTAGACCTGCAAAGCTGCATCGATTAAGCAATGAACTGCGAACGACAGTTGTCGTTCTCATCCCTGTGAATCACAAAAACCATTGGAAATTGTTCTTGCTACTCAATGTTGGTCGGTTTTTGGCAGTCACGGAGGACAATGATGGCCAGAAACGACCTGTTGCAATCGTCATGGATTCCTTTCAACAGAGCGGCCGACAGGAATGGAAGGCGTTGCGCACATTTTTGTGGTATGAATACCTCAACGAAACAGACAAAGCAGGGCTGTTAACTACCGAGACCGTGGACACGTCGTGGGTGACATGCAGAGATCTACTTGGATCTAACATAGCATATGCGGAATGTTCGCAACAGACCAATACGTCAAACTATGGTGTTTACGTTTGTTGCTTGGCAGCACAATTGATGCGAAAGCTAGCAAACGTGGCCAACGGAACGAACATAACCGCAAAATATATAACAGAAATTGTTAGCGCGATAGAGGTCAACGAACGAATGGTCGAGAAATTTCGTCACTCGATGGAAAAACGCTTTGCACAGTGCGCTGCAATGGCAAAAGGATATAACACCGGAGTAGCGTGTGACATAGAAAATGTCTTCAGAGATCTCATAGACGGAACACGGAGTGGAAGTTCGTAATTACATGGGCATGATAGAAACCCGGCATTGAAACACAAAGTTGACAACCGCGTGCGATTATACAAAACTCACATGTCGTAGAGAAGCCAATGGGCACGCGGTAACCAACTTCTGCATGTTACTTGATGGGTGAAAGCATGATGTATCATATAAAAAAAATGTTGTCTTTCATGTCACAACGGCAAAAAACATTCGTCTCTCTCTCTCTCTCTCTCTCTCTCTCTCTCTCTCTCTCTCTCTCTCTCTCTCTCTCTCTCTTTCTCTCTCTCTCTCTGCGTGTGAAAATGTCGCGTATGCTGACATCGGATGACAAATGGTCGTTCCATGTGCCAAAATCATTCCATGTCTAACGTGAGTATTTGTGAATTCGTGCATGTCAGAATCTTTTCATGAGGCTGAAGAGAATGGCTCTGAAGCCAAGGTACGAGGATGTGTGCAAGTCCTTGAAGTCCATGGGGAGGAGAGAGAAGGGGGAGAGGGCAGCAAAGGAAGACAAGAAGGCAGTCAAGCAAAGACATAGCATAAGGGATATTCCCCAATTGAAGAGACAGGAGACGAGCACAGTCCGAGGGACACAAGCAGTGCTCTCTGTCCCGCCGCGGAAAAAGCAGACGGGAAAACTGGTCGAATACAATAAAATACCTGTCGCGAATCCCCTGCAGTGGAAGAGACACGGCGACAGTGAGAGGCAGCCCCCAAGAGCGCCAGAGAAGAAAAGACGACATGAAAAAGTACAGTTGCAACAACAGAGGACAAAGAAGAGAATAATTTACAGAAAAGACAGGACTCCTGAAGCAATCGGCCTCAGAGGGTCACACGATTTACGAACCACCGCTCAGGAGGACGGCGAAGAAGAAAACACCGGCGAAGAAATGTCAGAAGAAGTAGAACATGAGAGAATGCAAGGAGGAGAAGGTGACGAAAGTGATGCAGAGGAGAGCAAGGAAGAGGGAGACAGCACCGATGACAAAACGGACAGATCAGAGGAGGGCGAAGAGGAAGAGGAAGGCAACAGTGAAGACGAAGAAAGAGAGATTACATCTGCTGAGAACAGTGCAAAATGCGGAAGTGATGAAAAAAAGGCAGGCTCAGTAGGGACTTCATCGAACACCAAACAAATTGTGCAGAGGGAGAATGTACCGCTACAGGGTAAGAGGAAGGGCGCCTTATAAAGAAACCACTATGTGTGGACAGCACGGTCGTTTTCGGTGTTGCAGAAACGACAAGGTTCATTGGGGAGGGGGGGGGGAGAGGGGGGTT